TTTTTTTTTTCCTATCTTTTCTTTATTTGTTTTGCGTTGGTTAACTGTTGGAGTTATTAAGGATTTTTGTGCGAAAATGGACAGCTAGCAACAGCTGGGTGGGTGTAATGAGGGAAAGTGAAGATCATCTGATGTGAATGGCAATTGGCAATGGTTTTATATATATAAATAAATAGTATATAAAACAATTTGGGGTGGGGGAATCAGCCCACCATGTGAATGTGTGTGACTTTGGGCCTCTGTCCTTCTAGAGTTTGTAAACGATACGAGTCGAGCTGTAGATAAATACGAGCTCCACCGAGTCTTTTGTTAAATAAGTCGAGCCGAACTCAAACTCTATTCAGTTCAGCTAACAAGCGGGCTCAATTCATTTATGAATCCAATAACCCCTCTCTAAATTTTCTCTCTTATTTTTCTAATTTCTTTTTCATTTTAAATGTCAAATCAAATCTTGTGTTGATGTTCCATTGAATACGTTCTATAGTTAATTTGAGTTTCAATTAACTTTAATAACATCTAATGCCATTAGTAATTTTTTTATCTTTGAATCATCACGGATTTATGTAGGTGATTGTGATTGTTGACAACGTTGGCTATATTTGGTAGACAAATAAGCTAGCTTATAGTTTATATTTGATTAGCTTATAAGTTTACTGTATTCAAATAAGTCTCGTTTGGTAGGACAAACTTTTTTAAAAAGCTCGAGCTTATTTGATAAACTTGCTTAGGTAGTTTTTCAAATAAGCTAGTTGATTTTTTTATTTCAACTAGCTTATCAACTAGTTTTCCCAAAGACTTTTATCATATAAGCTAGTTTTCAGCTATAAGTCTAAAGTTATAAACTATAAGTTAAATTTTTTTTTTTTTTTGGTACAGGGACCTTCCGGTTTCCGGATCCACAGGGGAACCGACTAATCCGGAATCGAGCCGGGTAGGACCACAAGGGCGGCAAAGCTCTCCCTCAAGAGTTTTTAACACCGCTGCATTCCCAGGGCTCGAACACGAGACCACTGATTAAACTGGAAGAGACTCAAGTCGTCTCATCCAAGCGCTCTTGGGTTAAGTTAAAAAATTATTGATAAGCTATAAGCTAGCTTATCGGCTACTTTAAAATAACAACAGTTACGACAACGAGAATCTTTCCCAACTTTCAAGTGGTGTACCTCATTTTTATGTTTTTCCTTGAAAAGTATCAAATCAAATCTTGTATGCAGTTTTTCAATTTGATGCAATCTAGTTAGTTTGGGGGTTTTATATGTGGTGATGCGAACTACCGAATTGGATACGATGTGGATACAAAAAAGGTCATATATTTTTAAGTTTTCAAAGATACGATTATGACATCACATTTATATTTTATATAATATTATATGTATGTTTGCATGAAAAAGAAAATGTAATTTTTTTTTTAATTTTAATTTGTTGAGTTGTATTATAGAAAAATCGCACAAGTGATTGAATATAAAAATTAGCAAAACTCATATTAACCGAGAAAACAAGTAAGCCTCTCAATGAATGAAAGTATTAATTTCCTTTTGTTTTAAATTAAGTAGCTTGTAAATTATATGTACATTCGATTCGTGAAATCTATATATATATGTGTCTGATTTGAGTACATCGTCTTCATAGAAGTGTTCATAATTTGTAGGTTTAAATTTTGAGTATTTCAATGTGGAGTAATTAACTTTTTCATAATTTATAGGGATCCGTTGAACAAAAGTCTGATCGAAGAAATATTAGGGTTACAGAACCCCAAAAGAGGTCGTCATAGGTGAAAAGAGATGCGAAAAATTTAAAGAAAGCGGCGGAATATCAGTTGGATAGTATATACTGGGCGATTGATACTATGTAAACTTCCATAATCGAAGATAATTGAGCGACATAGATGAAAGCCAGATGAAGAAGAAAAAGGAAAAACAGCGATTGTGTTGATGATGAAAATGAAAAAAGTGAGTACAATGTTTAGGGTTTCCCCTTTTATACTAAGGCTAATTGTAAAGATAAAATACATATGGTAAAGGCGTGTTTTATACAAAAACAACAGCAACTTTATATTCTAATATCATAATTCCTAATTGATTTAATTAAAAATCACCTATGATATCAATTAAAGAAAAACTATTAACTACCAAACGAAAAAAAAAAATTATAAAGCAACATTATATATAATATAATAAATTAAAATGATTGGTTAGCATGGAGCAAACAATTCTGAAAATAACGAAATTTAAAGCCCTGAAAAACCTTTCCCAATATAAAAGAACATGGCTCGAAATAGTGTGGATGATTATGGACCCACTGCATTTTCTTCCCCAATTCTATCATTTCATTTGACATTTTCAACTCTTGGTCAAATAAGTACATATTTTACTAATATTAGTAAATTATTATAATATAAAGAATCTTTACATTTAACCATATTAATTAATATATTTTATGTTGCAAAATAAAAAAAAAATAATATATTTTATGTTTAAGATTTAACCAATCTAGCTGATAAGTTAGCTGAAATAAAAAGAAAATATTCAATTGGTTTATTTGGAAAACTGTCCAATTAAATTTATGATATAATCTCGAATTTTTTAAAATAATTCATTCTAACAAATCTAACTTATTTGAATACAAAAAACTTATAAACTAACAAAATAAGTAATAAGCTAACTTATATGCTTACCAAATACAGTCTAACTCACTAAAATAATATATAGTACTACATAAGAAATAATCTCTATGACATGTCCAATAATAGGGGTGAGCGTGAGTCGGTACGGTTTGGAGATTGATAAATCTCCAGAACCGTACCAAAGTTCGGAGATTCAAAAATTCGATCTCCGGAACGGTACCAAAAAGTCGGTTCGGTTCGATTCGGTTCGGAGATTTTTATTTTTTGGTTTGGTATTCGGTATTCGGTACTATTGGAACGGTACAGTTCGGTATGATTTGGTTGGGATCTTCGGAGATTTCTTATTTTTTTAGATTTTTTTTAAGACTACCTAGTTATATATTAATTTTTATATGCTTTAAAAAACAACCTTCATCAATAATTCATCATATTGAAAATTTTATTTTGAAATCAACTTTAGAAGTAACTCTAAATTTTAGTTATTTAATTTTTATATGCTTTAGATTAATCAACATTCATTAATACTTCCTCATAATAAAAATTTTAAAATCAACTTTAGAAGTAACTCTAAATTTGTGCAACTAATATTGAAAATTTAAAATTCAAACAAAATACAATATTTTTTTCTAAAAACTATTCTTTAACCTTTCATATTATTTTAAATAATTATTTTATAACAGAAATAAAATCAATTGTAGATCAAGTATTACTAAGTATGAAAGTTAAGTTAAGGTTAATAGTCAGTATTACTGTATTATAAAGGATCAAATGTGACATAAAATATATTAATAACACACCTAATGTTATAATTCGGTTCTTAATTTTGGTTCTTCGGTTTGGTACGGTATGGGACGGTTCTGTTCGGTATGAGACGGTTTGGTTCGGTTCTCGGTACGGATATTTGTGAAATCTCCAGAACTGTACCAATTATTTTTTAGGTTCGGTTCGGTTCGGAGAAAGTCAAACGGTCAACGGTTATTTTTCGGTTCGGAGTGATTTCGGTTCAGTTTTCGGAACGGTTCGGAATTTTCCAAGTCTCATACTGAGCCCTACCCAATAATGTAGAGTTATTGTAGAATAATAAATGGATCACATATAGTAAAGTATTATTTATATAAAAGAAAAAAAAAAGAGAAAATAAAATATGGATGAGTTAGTGTAAGAAGTTATGAAATGAGCTGTGAAACAAAAATGAGGGCATGCATATGTGTTAAGAATCATGCATGTGTCCACCTTCCCATGTGCACTGTTTCTTAGTCCCCACTTTCTCTTTGCTTTGTCCCCAAATCAGACTCACATGGCCACTCTCTCTATCTATCTATCTATAAATTGTATAGACATAAATAATAATAGTAATAATAATATGCTATATTTATAGCTTTCTTGGCAATTTCCAACTTACTCCAAAACATAAAGCATTTTATTTTTTTTTTGGTTATTTAGTTTGAAAGTACTTTATGGAGACATTAACTACTAATAAATCATCAGCAAAAAGCCCAAAAGACCAGTCTAATAAGTACCTTCTGTCACACTAAAACATTGCCTATTTCTTGTCATTGTCATAATTAATTGCCCTAAGCACCCTCCCTATAAGTTAATTGGATCTATAAAAGAATTTGAAAGAATAAATGTTTATGTACTAACTTACACTACAACAATATAATGAAATTCTAACAAAAAAAACTTCAATGAAATTAATTCGAGCGACAACTTTATTAGTTATTTCAATGTTATTATTTTGGTTATAATTTTTCATCAATGGATTTCGCTGGAAATTCCAACAAAACTATTGCATTTCAATGAGCTTCTCATTTAAATTTTAGTTGGATTTTGACGATTCCAACAGTTGAAATACGGACGTAAATAAAAACTCCAACGAAAATTGCACATTCCAACGACAATAAAGCATTGAAAAGATGACAGTTTGAATTATCAAATTTCAACTAAATTTCTAATGAAAAATTCATTCCAACCGAATCTTTTCGTTGGAACTTCCATCGCAATCGTTTCAACAAAAATTATACCATTAGAATATCAATTGAAACATATATATAGAGAGAGATTCTACGGTCCCGTTACGGAATCATTTCGTCGGGGTTTGTAATCGTTAGATCAACTATATCTACGACGGTTACATTATGATCTAACAGTTATAAATTTCGACGAAATAGTTCCGCAACAGGACTGTAGCATTTCTCATATTTATATTATCTAGATCTTTTTTCTTTTTCTTTTTTTTTTTTTGTGTTATTGAATATTATGGTAAATTAAATCAATGTATAAAGTTAGTGTGCAGAAGTTGTCATCAATTTCATCATAGTTATTAATTATTTATCTTTCAGGCTATATCATGTGTGGAAACCTAGCTAACTTTTACATCAGGCCATTAAATAATAATTGAGTTTCGTCAAATTGAATGCTATTGAAATTTTATTTATTTCAAATCTTCATTCATTTCTCATCTCTGCCTTACCATTAATGGATGTATCGTGCTCGAATAACTAGCTTTTCAGCTGAACACACTGCCATGACACATTAATTATGCATGACGCTTCTTTTATTTTTATTTTCTTATAATATATAGTAGTAGTTTTCTAAAATATATAATTTTTTTTTACAATAAATCTCATAATTTTTATTTATATCAAATTTTAAAGAGTTTATATGTATATCGGGAGAGTATGATTGTCCAATAATTAGACGACGTAACAAAATAACTACCAATAAAAATTAAGTAATTATATTTACACAACAAAATTAAATAATAAAGCCTTTGAAGAATGACAAGTTCTTTTTCTTTTTAATTATATTTTTTAATTTCATTATTAAGCTGCAGAAAAGAATTGGGGTTGAAAAATAAAATTGGTGGTAAAGAAGTTGGCATGTGCAATGGAGAACAAACCCACATTCAAGATATAAAACCGACTAAAATATAGTAATTAACAAAAGCAAAGATTCTTTAGGTAATAATTAAAAAATGAGTTAATTAATCAACGTAGGCACAGTCTGGCTATAATTTGAATGTTAATAATTTAATTAGGTAATTATTATGATCCCAAAAATTCTGAAAGATTAATCCGTACATGAATTGGGACGGAGTAGGACTCACTATGCACATAAATAAAAAAATAATTATAATAATTAAAATAATAATAAAGAAAGAAAAGAAATTAGGCATTATTGCACGTGGAGGAGCCAGCACCAATGGCCTACCCTGTTTTTCAATTTTTTTTTTTCTTTTTTTTTATCATATATATATATATAATTATATCTAATGTCTCTTATTATACAAAAAGAAGTTTGGCACTGTAGCAAAACCATTTTTTTATTCTTCCCATTTTGCTTGTTATGTTGACATGTGTCCACCTTTGTTTTTACTTTGTTTTTTTTTTTTTAATGTTGTTTAGTTCATTTTTAATAATAGTAATTACTTTTCTATTACAGAGTGGAGAGGCGAAACACACATTTTTTTTCCTCTTGTATTTTTCACTTC